GCCTTAAATGAAACTGCATGAATACACTTGAAAATAGCATTTGGCTTTAAGTCCTATGAGGCAGATGTATTGGAGATAAGTCTATAATGGCCCCATTTTTCAGTGTTGGCAGAATTGTACAACTGAAGAATAACAGGTCTCCCCACCCCTTGTCATTTAGATGTGAGGGTGACTTGCTGTCATAGTTTACCATGGGCTGGTTTTATTTAATGCATTTTGAAGACGTCTTGGGGCAAGAGCTCTCCTCTTACAGCAGTCTGAGTGATCTGACTTGTAGATGGACATGAATGTTTATGTCTATGAAACAACGTCTTGGGAAGCATTTCCTTTCGTTTTGCATGTCCTAGTCCTGCATGCAAGAAAAAATCAAAATTGAGCTTGTCTGATCCTAATGTTTTCAATGGAGATGAGCAGTTGTTCAGGGGCCGTTTCAGAGGCCAGTTAAAACATTGGTGTTTCAATACTGTGTAGTCACAGAAGACAGCTGGGGAGAGCAGTAACTGGAATGTTTCAGGAAGTTAAAGCCAGTGCATCCTGTGAAAATCCCCCGAACTGATTGAGACAGTCATACATCCACACTGTGATACTACTCGTTGTGAAGTACAGAAGTCTTCCTTTGTTTTATTTGTCTCTGTGTTCATAGTGTTAAATAAAGTAGTCTGTCCTCTAAAACTGAATTATCTTTGTGTCATTTAATCCATGTCAGTTTACCAGGTGGTAGATTTTTTTGAAGTGGCGATGAAGAAAAATATGGAGTATTACTTAGTAAAAAGAAATAAGCATCTTTTCTGCCTCACAAAGCTGATGATATTGCCCAGAACAGAAGGACTTATGTCAAAGGAAAGTACTCTTAGTTGCTGTAATTCTGGTAGGTTATCGCTAGTTTGTGCTGGCACAACAGCTACTGTGAATCCTCAGATCTTGGGATAAAATTCTAAAATGGTAGTGGCAGATGTTATGCATATCCTCTGTATGGGAAGGGACTGTCACCTTAGCACAGCAGAGAGGATGGTTTTTGTGTATGTTTGTTAACATAGAAACTCACACCAGGTGAAAGATGAAGCAATTCTGCTAGCCTAAAGACAACTTCCAAACCACTTCTGTAAGTTTGCTGTTCCTTATTTTATTGAAGAACATCTAGATGGAACTCCAGGGTTCTAACTTCTAAGAGGAGAGGGTGGTTGTAAATTCTGATTTGGGATGGGATTTTTATTCTTGTAGATTGGAAGTTTTTGTAATAACTGGCCCCATGTTCAGAAATAATGCTGTTATGGCTAGTATCCTGTGGCTTATAAATAGCAAAACTTAAAACTTTTGAAGGAATGTTTTTTTTCTTCTATAATAGGTGCGCCTGAAATTAGCAACTGTTATTACTGAATTCTGAGAAGTTCATTTCTTTGAGCAGCATGCCTCTGGAGTGGGAAAGTTAACGATGCTCAAAACTCTAATGGAAGATAAACTTAGCAGTAGGAAAGACTGCTAAATTGCTTTAAGTTCATGTCAGAGACATAAAAATCAGATGGGGCTTCATAAAGCCATGCTATGTTTTCTATTGTTCTGTATGACTGATAATTGTGTGTTTTCTATTTTGAGTACTCTGACACCCTCTGGAAAAGAAGAGGTCATGCCTAGAAAATGGTTCAATTAAAGAATGCTGAGACTTTCAGTGGTGTGGGTTTTTCTTTCTTCCTGTTGTTGTTTTATTCATACAATAGTCCTCTATTTTGCTGAAAGCAAGATTCACAGCAATAGGGAATTGTTTAACATCTGCAGTGAAGATAAAGTGTGTGAGCCTTGGAACCTGATCTGTGTCCCTTAGCCAGCTGCATTTCTACTCTAGGATTTCCTATACACTTTCTAGTAGAATTTGCTGGGGTTTGTCAGCACCTAATCTAGGCTGGGATTCTCTGCTTTTGTCTTCTGAAGGGTCAACCTCTGAATAAATGTGTTTGGAGTGTTCTATTAAAAAATTATCAGGATAGGGCTTCTTAGACCAATATATGAAAATTCTATGTAGAGCAACATACTTTGTTCAAATGCGTGTTTCATATCTGGAAGTGTTCTGGAAAATAAATTCAGACAAGCTTTTGATACTTTTATATCATTAGCAGTCCCGTAAACTATTTTAAGACCACAGAGCTCATGTGTATTTGGCTTCAAAAATTCTATATTGGAGCTCAAGGTTTTTTACCTGTGCTTGACTATGAGTGCATATTCAGTTTTGTGTATTCAATATCCAATTTTAAAAAAATATTTAATATTCTTTTAGAATGTTTTTTCATTGTACTCCTGTTTCTTATTTGCCTTTCTGCTGTTTTGTGAAAAGAAGATATCATAGTCTGTCAACTGATTATTAGTACTTACTCGTTTATTTTCACACATTCACCATTTAATGTGTAAATTTTAATGCCCTAAAATCAAAGAGCATTTTAAAAGAACAACGTTTATAAATTTGTTTGCTCTAATGCTGATTAGAACTTGTTTCTGGACAAGTAATGTGTTACTGTAATGGAAATAAAAAGGCAGAAAGCCTCAGATCTGTTTTTTTTTTTTTTTTAACGTATTTTAAGTGAAGCTGTAGTATTCTCTCATTTGTTGTGCAAGTGTTTCTTTTGTGATTGCCTCAGAAGTGATAGTGTGTATACACAAGGAAGTGTAGCCTGACCTGCTTCTACAGCCATGCCAGACAGGAGCTAAACGCAAGAGGCCATGCCTCGGAACTAGTGCTGGGAGTATTTCACTGAACTAGCAAGACTCTGTTCTTGTATTTTTAATAAAAACAGTGTTGTAGTTCTTCCCCCAGTTTTGGGAGGATGGTGGGCTGGGAGAAGGGTAGAAGTAAAACAGGTGGTAGAACCTGTTAAGAGCCAGGAACTAGAATCAGTCTGTGCAAAACTGTGTTTACCCCAGCCATCCTTAACTGTGCTTCCTGTGGTTCCTTTTAATCTCTTTAACCAAATCTTCAAGTATTTGCTTTAGGTGGGATTTCTCTGTCCTGTCGCTAGAAGACATTGGCTTCATTCATTCATCTTGCGATGAAATTAAGTTGGTTCCTGAGAGCTACTTTATGGAAAATTGTACAAGACTTTTTCCTTCCAATCTGTTGAAGTTTTCAGTAAGTTTAAACCAAACAACAACAACAAAAAGTACAAAGAATCACTTGGGTAAAGCGAAGAGCATTGAACAAACAAAAGTTTTTGTAAAGTTTGAAATGTGGCTGTCTCACAACTTCAGTTGACAGTGTTTTCTGTTTCTTCATGGCTTAATGATTTAGTTTATATCATACTACCCAAGTTAAACAGACTTGTTATAATCATACCGATAAGCTCTGAAGATAAATGATTTGCCTTTCCTTGTTTTCACTGGGAATGTTTTCTTTGTTTTTGTTATTATTTTAAAGTCTTTGGAGGGAGAGAGGGGAAAATAGCCATTGCAAGCAGACAAATCACTTAGAGCTAAGAAAAGGTAGTGGATTAGTGGATGTTTATTTGCTGAAAGAGGTTGAAAGATTTTTGAGGTGCTGGGTAAGGATCTTGATTTTATAGCTATAGAGATGACACCTGTACTTCGTATTTTGTTTCCTTCTTGAAAACTGCCTCTGGCTAGGATTTGTTTTTTTGTTTGCTTCAATACTTAGTTCCTGGACAGAAGGAGTACCTGTTTTCATGACTTTACCTTTATCCTCTGCTGCTCAGCACAAAATAAATTTCACTGTCATAATCTTTCATTGCCCATTCTTGTCACTTTGACCTATAAATTGTATGTACGCTCTTACAAACAAGGCCAGAACAGTAGCACTCCTGAGTTTCACTGATGTCTAGAGAGTAGAAAATAAAGAAAAATTGTAATGGCTCATCTCCCTGTTTTACCTCCCAAATACGGAACATCAGTTACTGCTACGTGAGAGATTCAAAATAAAGTGTTTGGATTTGTTTTCAGGACTTAATATTAAGAATCTTACCTTTGTTGACATCAGTAAGCATTGGGCACCTTCAAGTAGTGGTTCTCAGAAATGCTTCTTGTTGTAATCAGGGACATAATTGTGTTACATAATTTTTTGTTCATATTGGGACCTTCCCAGGTAGCGTACGGACTGAGGTAAGCCACCCTGCTCAGTATTCTGAACTCGGATACTGAATCTACTGCATAGGTAAATCTGAACAAAAATAAGTATCCACTGAAGCTGAAAAGTTATTTTGTAGTGGAGTACTATTCACTTTATGAAATAGTAATTTCTTATGCCATCTGTCTGAACAACTGTTGATCTTCACAGATTGTGTTCCTTTCTACCATGTCAATCACTATCAATTACTTTGAGGTTTCAGTAAATTACCTGCTGTAGCTATTTGAATAGTCTTTGAAGGAGGACAAGCAAAGAGGAGAACAAGCATCCATGTTACATGGAATTAATTTCCAGACAATTTAATGTTGGCAAACGTAGACAGTGCTAGAACTCAATTCTCAAGCTGGGCTACAGGCTTATACTCCTGCAAAATAATAAACTGTGACTGAAGTCTGAATTATGTTTGAGTACTTGACAAAACCTGGGCGCTGCAGTATTGGTGGACCAGATGGCTCATAACATTATACATAGAAGGCGAGAGCATGAATGGCTGTTATCAGAATGCTCTTCACTGTTGTTCAGTGGAAATGTCTGATACGTAGTTAGCATTACTTCGGACAAATTATAAATGTCTGTTTCATCCAATATATGTGCGTCTGGCAGCTTGCTTAATCTGTGTTATCATGTAGGAGACACATGGAGGTAACCTGTGAGTCTGAGTCCTGCACTAGAGATTACTAGTTTGAAGGATTTGAGATTGGGTGGTATTTCAGATCATTTAGGTTATCATCACATACCAGGCTTACTTCAATGATGGGACTATTAATATGAAAGCATCAGGAAATGTTTTATTTTATTGGTTGTTTGTGAGTAAAGGTTTTGAAAAATTAGTTTGAATAAACAGTGAGCTCTGCTTTTTTTTTTATTGTCTTTACAGGAGTACCAAAGTCGGATCTTCTACATACAAGATCTTTAAGGGGCCACAGAGACTGCTTTGAAAAATTCCACTTAATAGCAAATCAGGACTGTCCACGGTCAAAACTCTCTAAAAGTACATATGCAGAAGTAAAAAATATCTTGAGCAAAAAAATTAACTGGATCATACAGTATGCACAAAACAAGGATTTAGACTCTGATACTGAAAGCTCAAAAACATCCCAACATCCATTTTTTAACTTCAGACATCAGACTGATAGAAAATTACTGCCACAGTTTGACTCCCCAGTACCTAGATACTCTGCAAAATGGATAGATGGAAATTCCGGAAACATTTCAAGCTGCTCACAAAGTCTTTTAGAACAAAGAGAATCCTCTGATTTCAGACTTGATATGTTACAAGAAACAGGTGCTACGTTCTGCTGCAATAGTGTTTTGTGGTCTAATCACAGCCAAGCCCAGAAACCTGAAAAAGCTGAAAGTGATTCATGCACTAGTGTTCCTCATCACAGGCATCCTCATTACAGCAGGGAAGAATGTAAGTATGTGTCTATTTACATGCAGCCTCACAAGTGGGGGGCATCTCCTGAAATATCTCTTGACCACTATATGTTACCACAGGGCATTAATTCACAGACAGAAATGCATCTTTTAACAGTTTAGAATTACTGTAAAATCTGTGGGAAAATGTGGTTACATAGTTAGGTAGATAGTTTTTGTGGGTGGAGAGGTGGGTTTTTGTTCATTTTCTTATTTTTTTGAACTTTCCTGATAGTTATACAACAAAGCGATACACCGCCTGTCTAATATATGTTTTAAAGAAAGGATACATTTGGCTGCAGTCTGTCTTTAATACGTCAGTCATGACAGTCACACTGTGCTTGTGCAGACTCCTGAAAGCAATCATCTTGTTGAACATCAATAGTGTCTTGAGTTACCTTTTGGACAGAGCTGTCTTAAACAATAGAGGAAACTAGAGGTAAAGTAACAGAGCAAACTTGTGAAGCAATGTACAGAATTAAACATTCTTAATAGCAGCAGACTCTCCACGTGCACTTCTAGTTTTGTTTGTTTTCTGCTTGTCGAGCATAAGAAAAAATAAGTTTTCCTGTTATTTCAGGAAAAGTCACTGGAAGAGTCTTCAGACATACATCTAGGTTATTGGAATCTTTGGAACCAAGTTACATAAGATGTGTCAAGTGCAAGATCCTAGAGATCCGTACAGTTACCTTGATGCTTCTAAACAGTTCTTAGTCCTAAACTAGCATACATTAACTCTTACTTTTGTAAATGAGGAAAGTAATTGGAGACTGTTTTTGAATTTCAAAAGACCTGAGAAAGAAGATGAAAAAGCTAGTAAAATGTTCTGTGAAAAACTTAGATAATGGAAAAAAGGCAACAGCAGAATTTGGAATGAGAGAGTGAGAGAAAGGGGTGCTGTGAGATTTGGAATTGGTTTCTTTAGACTCCCATTTTTAATAAACTAACAGAACTTGTCCTTCTAAAGTTTGGTTATTTCTCATTCTTTACAAGACAATTTTAACTGATGTATGATGTTTTTTATTGTATTTATTGTAAATTAGCAGTTGCAGTGCCATAAATCAAACCAGATATGCTGTGCTGTTTGACCACCTGTCCTCTGGAGTCATAAATTGGAATTAAATAAATCAGGACAGCATTTAACAGAGGAATTATGAAAGCTTGACCTGGTTTATGGGGTTATCTAACTGAAGTTAGTCACATTGAATTTATCTCTCTGATCTCGGGACAAAGGAACGTAAAACTCTTTTTGAGCACAATAACATTTTTTTTCCTACCTGCTATGACTGCATCATATGCTTTTAAGGCATTTTTGCTTTGTGTCTTAAATAATGTTAAAATTAATTATTTATCTTTTCTGCCTTGTAAGATATTCATTTGGAAACTTTGTGCTTATGTAAAGTTAATTTAAGAGAAAAATCTAGTAGGACCATGTATGCTGAAGTTAGGTCCATTCTTATTGCAGCACCAGCACTGTAACAGTGTAACATTCTATTTAAAAAAAAAAATGTTGCTAATGTAACTGTAAATATCTTGGTCAGTATTTTTAAAATTTCCTCAGCTGTGCATAGAAAAACTTATTTAAATTTAGTATTCTATTCCTGTATTAGAATTATGTGGCATAACACAGACCTGTCCTGATACACACAAAGAGGAGGGAAATGTGTGAATCTGCCTACTTGCTGCAGCTATTGAAATGTTGATGAAAATAATGAAATAGAAAGTGACTTCCTACCCCTGGGTATAGAAAGAAGGGAAGACTTATTGATTTAATTTTCCTTTGTTCTTTTAAAATTATTAGTTACCATATTAAATCTGATCAGACCTTTCATGGAGATTAAAAAACATCAACTTAAAGTGTGGTAATTTGTGGGAAAATCTGTTCTATTGAATTGAAGGTTAGGAGAAGCACTGCTGTAATTGGCTGTTGGAGGAGACAGGTGGAACTGTTCCTCTGTTAAGTGGCCTTATGTCGTGAGCAGCTACAAGCAGGCTATCTTAGCTGTTGCCAACTTCTTTAGTTTGGCAATAACAAGAGAAAGTTAATAACCCACAATTACAAGATGTGAGAAGGTTTGGAAGAGAAGGCTTAGCATAACAGAATAGTCTTTTGGGTAAATAAAAATCAGCCTCATCAGAACTTATGTTTTAAAATTAACAATACAGAAACTTCTGCCATTCATAAATCCCTGAACAAAAGCTGTATGATTGCAGTATGGTCTCGTCCCTGTGGTGTGCAGTGTGTTTTGCTAAGCTGCAGCACTAAGGGGCAGGATTTACAAGGTCTTAGTTTGTTTCAGCATCCTGTAACTTCCTGTGGTGGCCAGGCTTGTTAGTTTTTACCATCCAGCCCTGGGGCATTTCAGCAGTAGGTGTGGCACCAAGCTCTGCCCACCACACCTGGGTTGAGGGACTTCTAGGAAGGAAGCCTCTGCTTCCTTGCATGCTACTGTTGATTGAGAGCTGTGTAGAATACTTTCAAAATTCCCTACTTTAAGGTTTAATGTGTTTTCTCCAAGGATGAGCAATGTGCATGTCTTAGAATAGCCTTATATATAGGAGGAATTATGAATGATGAAGAGGGTCTTTTAGTTCTCTCTAGGAATGTGACAGAAGAAAGTGAGAAATAAACTTTTTATATGTTAGTCTTTGCTTGTATCAAACAAAGATTTTTTCATTGTTTTTCATTGTTTATCACTAAGTTACTGTATGGAAATTGTATACAGTATTTCTATATGCATAAGGCACAAAACTTTATAGGTAACAGATGTAGCTGCATGATAAAAAGTCTGTTCAGAAGCAATTTTCTAAGGGCTTGCAAATGTAGCAGAACTAACTTCAGTATTGTCCACTTGCTTGCAATTAAACATATGTACTTGCAGGGGTAGCACTGTGGAAAACATGTTTTGCTGTCAGAACTGAAGTCCAAGAAATGTTAAAAGGGGACATGCAATTCTGATTCTAGATACTTGTATTTTGAGTGCTTGAGCTTGCATCTTCTTGATGCCAAGGAAGGGGCTTTCTGTGGAATAGATACTTGTCCATGTCAGCATAAGAGAATTTTCAAACTTTCCAAAATTACTAATAAACAATGTGGCCTCTAGTTTACTGTCACACCTGTTGATCATTCGAAAGCAAATAAAAACAATTTGATAAAATGACAATCTGTTTAGAGGTGTTTGTTACTTTAGAAGTGATAATGGATTTTATTCTTACAGTGAACACGATGACTCCCGGAGAGTTAAAGCAACTTAATGAAAAACTTCTCAAGCAAATCCAGGGTGAGAATTTTTCAGTAATCTTTGTTTTGCCTTTGTGCTGCTTTGTGGTAAATAAAATCGTGTTTAAAAAGAAGTTGTAATGGTTTTGCTATCAGTTAAGTTTGGAGTTGAGATCACTTTACATCCAATCACTACATATAGCAAGAAGCTTCTGTGTGCTTTATTATGTAACCTCACTGGGTGAAACAGATTTGCATTTAATATGTGTCTTTGTTATACATGTATTTTTTGCACTGGATTCAACTTTATTTCAAGTTACTAATTGTTCCACCTTGACTTGGGTCACCTAAAACAAAACTAGAGATCCCGTTCAGTTTACAATGCATATACCAAGCTGTGCTGGGACTATACAGTGTTCTTGTGAGTGAGCCACTTAAATACCTGTGCCTTTTAAATAGTAATGTTCACCATTACTTGTTATCCGTATGAAAGTAGAGTGGTGAAGTGCATTAACCTAATGATGTTCTTGCAGATGTGTTTGAGGAGCTGACACAGCAAGTCCAAGAAAAGGACTCTTTGGCCTCAGAACTGAATGTCCGTCACATTGCTATTGAGCAGTTGCTGAAGAACTACTCCAAATTGCCATGTCTACAAATGGGACGTGCAGGAATGAAAACAAATGTCCCCATATAATGGGGATACAACTCGTATCCCCTGTATAGCTAACTTTCCCTGGTGTCTTTGAGAACTGCTACACAAATATTTAGAAGCTTTTGAGGAAACTTGGGCAGCTTGTTCTTTGCATTCCTAATCCATAAGAAGTCTTATTCCACTTTGGTTTTAACAAAATAGACAAATATCATAGATACTAAAATCACTGTAGTAAGGCCTATTCCCACTCTGGATTTTTTTTGCCCATAATGACGCATGAGCCTTGAACTGAATTTTGTTTTGTTGATAATTAAATTGTTTCTAACAAGGAATGACCTGAAGCCTGTAAATCTGCCTACTTTATACAGAGGAAAAAAAAGTTTTGATCAGATCTGATCATGTTACATCCAAGAGAGCTTTAAGGGAAGAACAGTATTAGTGAAACACATTTTCTTATTTATTACAAGCAATATTTTATTATTGAAATTTTATACTAAATATTACTATTTTAGGTACTTTTCCAGATCTCTTTATAAAACGTCTGAATTACTCTGTGTAATGTTTATGCCTTGTGTATGATTGTTTATCCCTTTTCAGGTCAGTATCTTTCATGATACAATTTAAAAAAATAATAATCTTTTTTCCCAAAGAGATGAATTTCACATGTTAATTCACATGAATTTCACATGTGCATCATTTATTTTTATCAAGTTTATAAGTGAAGAATTTAGTTCATAAGATGTTTAAAAAAAAAAGAGAAAAAGCACAGCACTTCTGTTTAAAAAAAAAAAAACATACTTTGGATTTAATACATAAAAGTTGTTTTTGTATGTGTGAAATTTTCAATGCTGAAAAAATGATTTCAAAGAAACTAAATAAATTTGTAATACTACAAAACCGTGTTGTGTTTTCTATGATATTGGATTCCAATGTGATAGTATTTTCATTTTTACATTCTAAAAAAAAGGAGAAAATTCAAGTTAATCTTTGCTGAAAAGACCGTAGAGTTATATTTGTATAAATGAAAGTTAGAGAGTTAGAGAAAGTTAGAGATTTTTATAAATGAGAAAGTCAGGGATGGAGGGGAGAGATTCCCCCTTCCCCTAAATGTAGAATTTGTGCTTTCTGACTTTAATGACTTCAAGTGAAAGCAGGGAATGTTTAGTGGGAAGAAAGGTTTAGATTTGGTTTTAACTTAAACTTCAGCTTAATTTGCACTTTTGGTTTTTTGATTGCTCAACTTGACATCTGAACTACATAGGACAGGTTTATTAATGCTTTTCTTACGATGCAGTTCTGGATGGGCCCTCTGAGGGTTTTGGAGCAGCATGAGAGAGGATGCACAAGCAGGGACTTGAACTTGTTTCTTCAAGTATTTAGTGGTGTAGGAGGGTAAAATATGGGTGGTGGTGTATTGCTTGCATGCAAAAGTGGTCCTATAAGTAAATGTGTACTAGCTAATCCATGATTATGGTTGTCAGAGGACGGATTAATCTCCATATGCAAGTCTAATAATACAATACTAAGATAGCTGCAAGTATAATGTGAGAGCAGAAATACCATCATTGCTTACATCTGTGAAAACAATCATCACACAAGCTGAAACAGATAAATCTAAACATCCCCAGCTGTCTGATTAGAATGTTGTGAGGATTTGAATTTCGGTTCACATGGTAATGAGAGGCTCTGAAGGAGTAAGTTGTACTTCCACTCCTGATGTTTGCTTCTGTAGGAATTAGAAGCATAGCACCTATATGGAGTCCTTCCTAATATCTTTCTATGTGTTTTATTTTTGTTACATTAGATTAGGTTTTTGATGAAAGCAAGGTGAGGGGAATTATTTTGTTTTTAAGGTAGAATATCATAAGGAAGGACAACTTCTAGGGCCCAGAAGCCATGGAAAAACATTAATTGTTTTTATGCTTTGCCCTTGATCTGACTGTGAGTCAGGGGAAGAGGAAAGCAGAATCCCAGCATATGTGCTTAGAAGAAAACCTAACTATATAGCTGCTGCTGCTGTTTCTTAAGTCCAAAGGAAAATGCTGCAGGTTCAGAGGGGTTAGTGTGTGCCCCAGCTGCCTGTCAGCTCTGACCTGGAATCGCTTCCGTGTATCACTTCTCTGTAGCCCCGAAAGAGTTCAAGAAGATAGATGTGGTTGTGCCCTTGGGTGTTCAGGTTCAAAATGAAGTACTGTAAGGAAGTGCTCACACCATCATATGTGTGGGATTTCTTTCCTCATGACTTCCCTGACTTTCACTGAGAAATCTATCTCATGTAAATCTTGCGTCAAATTTTGAGCTGCTTCTCTATAAGAAATGTAAATCCTTAGGGTATTCAGACTCAAGATGCGTTTTGAGTGAGTGGTAAATAAGCTTTACCTAAGGGGGAAAAAAAAAAAAAAGGGTTTTGCAAAAGTGGTGTTTCTGGCTATGAGCACCTGTCAAATAATAGCTACTGTGAGAGTCTTAGCAGCTTAAAAATTACTAGTTTTTATTTGCATTGCAAACTGTTTCTTACCAAAAATGGTAGCAAGAATTGCCTGGAAAATTGTGTACTTTATAAATAAATAAAAAAAAAAAAACCTTCATGAAGTGCTCTCTAAAAACAAGCAGAATTGCTACTGATTCCTCCTTCACAGCCAAGTCCTAGTGGTATATGGCAAAAACAATGTGTGTTTTTTTTTTTGTCTGTTTTTGAAGGGGAGGGAGGGAATGTCTTTGTTTTTGTTTCCTTCGTTTTTCCTTTTACAAAGGGATGCATTGCCAGGAAAAATGTTCACCGAAACTGAATCTGAAAACCTTTTGTTACTTCTATTTGTATTGCAGTGACTGGAGACCCCAACAATGAGAACACAGCTGAATCTAAGGCTCAGTAAGACAGTAATTAAATTCATGAGGAGGAGTCTCTTGTTTGATCAAAATGAGATCCGTATGAGTATAAAAGAGCAGACCACAAACTTAGATCCATTTAAGAGCTTAATCTGTTATTTCCATGCTGATTTTTTTTTTTTTTGGACCAACTCAGTAACTGCATTATGAAAACGTTGCCCTCTCCCTTTTTCCTTGGTTGAGTTCTCATGTTGGGCATGATATTCTGTTAGCACCCCCGAATGGTAATGCATGCTCTGGTTTCCATGCCAACAAGCCATTTCCAGAAAGTGGGCAGGGGGTTGGGGGCTTGTTGCTGCTTTTTAATTAATCAACTCCTAGGAGCAGAATTGATTTTTTGTTTTTGCTAGAAATATTTCTTGCATTATCCAGAAAACATTATATGGAACTGTTCATGTCAAAATTGGAAATGCAAATTACATATAACAGATATGTGTTAGATTGCAAGGGCAATAAAATTGGTTTTGCAGTTGTAAGATTTAGGTTCACTTTTACATATTTAAATACTGAGATTTAATTTTGAGGAAAAAATAATAAAGCAATCAGTTAATTTATTTTTCATAGTAACATATTGCTTGCTTTATTGTTGTGGTTTTTTTTCCCCACAATTGCTGTTTTTTAAAATGAATAAAACGTTAATTTTCTAGGTTTTACTGAATATAAAGTCAGCAATGTAAAGCTGAAACATACATTAAGGAAATGCTATTAACTGCATTAAAGCTTTCGAAGTAAGTTGGGTCATAAGAAAACTTCCACATGATAGCTCTAGTTTTAAAATGTCTCAATCATCATTTTCTAGCTAAAGAAAGAAAGGGTTTAAACTTATAAAGACTAAAAAATGTGTTGTTGTTTTTTTATAAAAAGTTCTTTTTATTGTGTTGTAAAAAGCAGCGATCTATTCACTTCTGTTTTGCAATAATTAAATGTTAGCATCTATTGGTTCAAGACTTTTAAATGTTGATTTTGTAAGAATATGTTACATTAAGAAGGGGTATTTGGATAAAGGGAAGTAGGAATGTAGGAAGCAGTAGTTCTCTAGGCAGATTAAATTCTGCAGTAGAGGGGAAGAAACAAAGATGCTGCTAAATTGCTGTTGTTTGGTAGTGTAATCATAACACGAGTCAATTGTGGATCCCACTGTGAAATGAAAGACAGAACTTTATTGTTTTTTCCTCCATCATTTAATTATTTCCTATACAGTGCCCATCACCAGAGAATCCTGAAACCTGCAAGAAAAGTCTTGCAGTTACTTGTTTATCTACCATCTGCTTAAAAGTTTATTAAAAGGATTGTTTTCCTCTATTACTGAGAGCAAGTTAATTTGCCAGTTGAAAGCACAGGTGTGTAGGTGTTGAATTCTTTTCCATAGGCCTATCCTAAGGTAAATATTTTCAACATCTCCTTGTGCTTGCCTGTATTGACTTTCTCCAGTACTCAGTGTCAGTTCCATTCCTGCATTGCCATGACTGAGAAACACTATGTTTTTTTCTGTTAGCACAAACTACAAGTTCAAAATCATTGTTACCTTCTCAGTGATCATAATACCTGAACCTAATTTCCCCTTGGCCCCTCCAACACATAACTTGCCATCTCTGTAACCCACCAGCTCTCCACAGATCCCTAGCACAGCTGCCTAACCCAGAAACAAGTGCAAAACCTTGGCACCACGTTTGACGGAACTGTGAGACAGAGGAGAGGTAAAATTACAGGCTGAGGTAGGGCTGTTAACATAGTGATGTATTGGTAGCTAAACAGTTCAAGAGTAAGGCATGATTGTGAAAAAGTACAAAATCCTGAAGAAAAGAAGGGTGTCAAGTCCAACGTCGGGTTGGTCAGGTTGGTGGTGTTGGCGGTGTCGGTGGCTGTGGTGGATGTGCAGTCTCAGCAGTTCCCACGCTCTGCAGCTCTGCTCTGCTCCCAGCTCCACCATTCCTCCACCCCCACCACGTGTGATGCCTGCCTGGTCAGCACAGACTCTTCAGGTGTCTTACCAGGGTATTGTCATGCTGATGCTGAGCCAAGGAGCTCTGTAAGCATGTGAGAGAAAAAATAAATAATTGCTTTTTTCTTTAAGTTGTATGTATCTCATTTGCAGAGGCTTTCCTGCAGGGCTACAGTTGGGCAAATACGCTGATGCAAGTAGCAAAAGATGTCTGCATTTGTACAACACAGTAAGTCTGCAGGTATCTTGCAGGTACTTCTTGCGGGTATATTATTTCATGATGGCTGAACCTGAGCGAAGCACACAGCAAATGTCCTTGATGCCGCATATGCATATCAGGGCTACAGGTCAAATACTTCAGTAAAAAAAAAGCAAAAAAACCTGACTGCTATGTATGGGTCATGCAAGTTTGCAGTGAAGGTGATCTCTTGCAAAAAGTTAAAATTTGTTTGCCTACAGAGACAAAAATATTTTAAAGGTGAAATTTAAAGTTGGCAGTAAATGTCCAGCAGGTGTACTACTGGTACATCTGAAAAGCAAAAATACTGATATTTCATTTGCAATAGTGTACCTACGTGCACCTAATCTAGCAGAAAGAGTTAACGTGTACTTTTTGTGCATTCTTTACCTTTTGAATTTATGTGGTTAAACTTCAACATTATTATTATTATTATTATTATTGTTATTATTATTAAAAAGAGGGGAAAAACAGGCAATACTCCTTCATAGCCTTTGTTTACTGGAAGTGCCTGAAGGGAGATCAAGTCAGACAGTTGGTCATAAGATGAAAAAGAGCCTCCCCGCAAGCTAAAGAAAAAGTTTAAATTGCATTATTTTCAGGAAGATAGCATTTGGCACTGGTGAAAAGTGTGTGTGTTCTTAAAAATCACCTAACATAATTAGACCTACTCAGTTCTAGGTGCATCTGTCCTGTTCTCTCATTCTGCCCCAGTAGCTCATGACAATGGCACAGGTTGCCCAGAGAAGCTGTGGATGCCCCATCCCTGAAGGTGCTCAACACCAGGCTGGATGGGGCTTTGGGCAACCTGGTCTGGTGGGAGGTGTCCGGGTCCATGGTGGAACTGGGGCTGGAACTGGATGGTCTTTAAGGTCCCTTCCAACCCAGACCATTCTATGGTTCTATAAACATTTGCTAATTTTATTTTTTTTAGAAAATTGACAGCTAAAAATATAAAAGAAAGCTAAAAATCTCACCATCTTTGCAAAGTTATGTGACTCAGGGAGATTTTATAAAGCCATCTACAGTGTTCCACTTAGAAGGAAAAAAAAAAAAAAAAAGGCTGCAGGATAAGGTCACACCAAAGCACTCACATGGAGAGTGTGCGTGCATGTGTGTGCATGTGCCCCAAGTACAAGGAAAGCTTTGCTCGGTGCTTCTGATATTCCCAACAAGGAGTCATAAGTCTGTGGGCAAAAGACTCCGCTCCTTGACCACTGCAACTGTGGTGACATCATGAGATGTTCCAATGCCCACATGCCCAAGTGCAGTCCAGTCAAGCCAAGACCAACATGGTGCATTTTGGATCAATTTCCTGCCATGGGTTGAAGCAGCAGCAGAGCAGCTCCTGCCGGGTTACCAAGACAACCTTGTGATGTTGTCTTTTCAGAATGCATCGGATCTATAGGTCATCATGCTGTTAGAGAGGGGCATTAAGTGATGTTTCACTCGATCTGTCCTTCAGCAGCAGCTTGCACAGCTGCCCTTGGCCATCTGTAACAATGGCAGAGGAACAGCAACTTACCAGCAGGTACGTCCCACTAAACGCTTTTCTTTTCGGGATGTCTCGCACAAGAAACAAGATTAACGAGAAGAGTACTTAATAAATCTGATGCAAAAGCACCAGGACAATTTGGACTGCTTTGTAGGATCATCATTTCTCAGCAGGTTTAAAATCTGACAGGACCCAATGATGCCTTTTCCAATTCTTTAAAATGTACTCTGTATTAGCCTAGCATTTGAAACACACCCTCACTATAGCATTTAGTTTTACTCACAACAATGTAATTAATGCAAGTTCAGTCTAAGTCTCGAATATTCCTAGGGTGCTGTGTTGACTCCAGATGAAGATGCCACTGAGTAAAACCCTTAGCAGTAACAAAAAGCCTACCAAGACTGATCCTGGAGCAACTTGTCTATAAACCTCTGTTAGAACAATTTCAGGATCTTCATCATCATCTTCATCCATATTTCAGAGGTAGATTGCAATGCTGAGGGACCAAGCAGAAACAGGTTATTGGCTAGAGGTAACTTTTGCAATATCAGCTGCATGGTACAGTCTAAAACTATTTGTTACTTTTTCTTTTTTTGTTTTTTAAGCTTCTCACTTGGCTGCTTTAGTTTATTGATACTAGTATGGAGAGGAGTGAGTGCAGGCATCTGCATAGCTATATTCATAAATTAATTATATATGAATATATTCATAAAATATATAAATTAAATAATTATATTAATATATAAAAAATAATTATATAAATCATGTATAGCTAAAATTAGGAAATAAAGATTTTTTTTTCCTACCTCTTATTCGCAAGTGTTAAAATATTTATTGCACTTTTCTGTGTGTTTGGCATGCATGGGAATCAATGTGCCTGTTGTTCTGTGGTCAGTTTAGAACACGGGAGAATTTAGTGGCTTCTGGTAAGGATACACAATACCCATGCATACAGCACATGATTACATTTAGAAGAGTAATGTTGCAAAGCATTAACCAATGTATTCCGTAAGTGAGGAAACAGGGCTAAAGATTGGGTTAGGCAGCCAAGGGCAGCCTAACTTCTTTTCATTAGCAACACTGGATTGGTACAGATTCCTCAGCAGAATAGTTCTGATAATTCCTCTTTTTAAGATTTTTTTTTCCTTCCTGATATAGTAGGAAAAAAAAAAAAAAAGGTATTCTGTGAAGCCAAATGCTGGCTTTAAGTGATAGGACTTCCTTAATCCGTCTAAAGAAAGATGAAATATTGAGAAATACTGTCCCACTTTCTGACTCTTCAATGATTTTTGCTAATCTACTGAAGCTAAGTAATACTGTGGGAAGACGGTTTTCCCTGTAACGGTTTTAACGATTTTTATTTTATTTTATTTTATTTTTTAGGTAGGAGTCTGTGGCTTCCAGTGGGTATTTTAATTAGAATTCAATTAGAATTCAAATCCAATGCAGCTAGACTTTCAAATGAAGAGATCATAGAGTGCAAATTATTCTGTTTAGAGTTGTGCATTGAAATAAACAACAGGGGACTTCTTTCCCAAGATGTTTTTTTAAAAAGTGATTTTTAAAAAGTGAATAGATGTTAATGTGGGCTGCACTTTTGAAAAATAGTAATACTTCTGTTTAACTGTAGGTTTGTTTGAAGTGCCATTGCTTGAAGTTTTTTGTGTGATTAGTCTGGAATGAGGCTTTTGTACAAGTGACAATATTTAAGGATAGATGGGTCTTTCAGGATGGAGATAGGTTAAGGAATAATAGTAGTACTAAAGTGCAATCAACGTGGGAACGTGCAATATTCTTCTTCTCTCATCATGACTTAAATGACTTTGATAAGCAGCAGCATCCTCCATAACGCTGATACAGCTGCTGCTCAGAATAAGCTGGACTGTATTCTTTGTCCAAAAGCTCCGTCATGCAGACATAAGATGATTTGCTACAATCTTTTGATAATTACTGCTGCCACCGATGTGCAGCACAAGGCAGTGTGCAGGGCAGTGCCGGCTGGTGTCTGTGAGTATCATGGCTGTGGATGCTGGGTTAGAGGAAGGATGCGAATCGCCATGGGGAGCTCACCAAGTATTCTCTCCTCTTGCTACTGATGGGGTCATGCTACTGGGCTGGAAGTACCACGCTTTTGTACAGTAGGGCATTTCTGACATTATTCTCGCTTTCCAGGCAGATTAGTTGGAGCACAACAATGGCCAAGTAACATACCCGTTTGCTGCGGCTGCAGCTACTTGTTTTTCCTTCTCACCCTACTACCCCTAAAATTCCCTCCTCCCCTCCCACCTCCTGCAAAAAAAGTATGACTTCCCTCTTTCTTCAAAGACATACTTGAAAAAACATCTCTTTGTGGATTCGTAGCTACTGGGAGAAAAACAACAACAAAACAATACCCTAAAGCTTTAAAAAGTGCTGAATCCAGTCATGGGAAAGATACACTCACCTACAATACTAACCAGTAGGTAGGTCAAGCTGGTCTCCATTAGCATGGAATCATCCAGTATGTTTTTTTCCCAGCAGCAAACACTTTTTTTTAATTATTAGTAGTAGTAGTATATGTACTTATAAAACATTCCTTTAAAATAGTTCTGACCAAATTGCTTGGTTTTCAAAAAGCATGTTTTCTCTGCATAATCAACTCTTGAGAGGGAAAGGAGTAATGCTACATATTTGCAAAACAAAGGAAAGGGAAGCAAAAGGTAAGGCAAAGGTTTGCTTGTTCGTTTTTTAAAAGACTTTAATAAGATTCCTCACTGCAGTATCTAGAAGGTGATCTTAGATTGAACCTCAGCAGCAGCTGTCAGCACAGATCCCCAGGGAGCGTGGGCTGGCCTTCAGCAAGCCCATGTCAATGTTAACTGCCTTTGTGGCTAGCTCCACTAGGTCTTTCCCCTGAGAGGAGTGAAATGAGCAGGACTGGGAGGAAGTCTGGTCTTTTCCAGCCCCCATCCCTCTCACATTAAGCTCTAACTCTGCTGCACTTGAAATAGCTCTGTCTAGACCCGGAGACTTCATCTTGAGAGCAGCAGGCATGCCGGCTCGCTCAGAGGGGCCGCTGTCACCGCATGGTGTCTGGCAGCACACCCCACGTGGCCATGGCCTTGCCTGAGAAGGAGGCTGGACACAGAGAAGAGGCTGTACACAGGGCATGTTTTTCTGTTGGGTGAGGGTTGCACCATGACATTCAGACTCTGGACTCAAATACACCACAGCAGAGCCGTGCAGAGAAGTAGCTGAGGCGCTTGGGCTCTTGCACAGAGACATTACGCAGATCTGTCCTGTTGTTCATGAACAATCCCACTTGTTTTCCTTATTGTGGCAAACAGCCATGGTTCGCTTATGCTCGTTTATTTTTGTACTTGTTAAAATAACAGCATTTACAAAAGAATTTGATTTTTGGCATGCAAGTCAAAGACATTGATCCAACAGCAAAAGCAGACCAGTTATTACTGCCAGTAATATGATAGTGTCTTTTAGTGCCAAAAAAATAAAACTGGTAGCCAGATGCTTTTGTCTTATTTCTGCTCTGTTGTATTTGATCACAACAAATCTGATAATTAACTGCATTTATCAAAATTAAGTGCCTAATGTTTAAATTCAACATTTTAGTAATGTAATCTCCTTGTTTGTTCTACTTTTGCATTTATTACCTTAAACTGCACATCGTTTAGCAGATGAGGTTTTTCACACAGGAAATAGTAGATCACAAAAGTATTCTCCTAATAATTTGTACCCAGTAATAGTTAGCGTTTGTGTAAATAAATCACATCTACACTCTGCTAACATCAAATTTCAATCACAAGTATATTTGATGTTTTATCTGGCCAAGGTACTTTAAAACAGTTCCAGCAGTGATAGCCAGACTGCTGGTTCAGTGTGCTCTCCAGCAAGATACTATCAAGCCCTGTTCAGAAGTTAATATGGGTATGTTTTCCTTCATACTGAAGGTCAGCTCAAGGTTTTGTCTATTTAACTTTAGTACTCTTCATGTTGTTATCAGGGAGGCAAATCCTAGGGAATGCATTTATATGTGAAATGCAGCTTTTCGTCCTGCTAAAAGCTCACAGCTTAATCGTCGTTTATGTTATTTACATGTATGTCAACCTTCAGCTTTGTTGCATCAATTCTTCAGCATTCAGTGCCATTTTCTGTAGGACTATATGACAATTTCAGCTTCATTTGCTGATCACAGGCCTATTTTAAAGTGTGGCTAGGACAAAGGTATTCTCATTAAAAAACAAAAACAAACAAACAAACAAAAACCTCTTTGCAGCTGTATAATATCTCTTGAAAACAAATGAACAAAACTACATTTTACACGCTTAATAAAAGCAAGGAAAATAGTATTGCCTAACATTACAATTTTCAAACTCGCCCAGTCATAACATGCTGCCTCACATGCTAGCATAGCTGCTCAACATTATCCTGTTGGCACTAACTCCTCGATGCTGGGTCTCTGCTTTAGAGAATGCCCTTCCTTGCTTCCAAATCCTGGTGACAGTAACTCTGAAGAGCTCCAGAACATTTTTACATTGTCGTGAGGACAAAAAACAGACCTGGGACCTTGCTTTTTTTTTTTTTTTTTTTTTTTTTTGAAATTTGCTTTCCAGTACCCTGCTGAGGCCGTACCCAAAGCTGGCTAACTTAACAGGCCTCCGAGAAAGCTCATGTTCTCCATGCTGGTGTCTGAGACAAACACTGAGCCTTGCTGCCAGGGCTGGCCATGCTGTGCTGAGTCCTGCTGAAATCCAAGTGAGGTTTGCTGTGTGGTTAGGCTGGGGAGCACTAAGGCACAAAGTCATGTAGGTCAGCTGCATCTCTTGTGCACTCAGGGCTTGGCTTGGAAAGGTGAAAGTATCTTCTGCCCCAGCAGACCTTGGCACAGACGGGGAGCATCTGTTCCCAACCCATTCACAGCCATCCCGTAACAAAAGCAACAATTCCTAGCATTAAATAACATCAACATTGGACTGGCTCATCTAGAAAGCAAACACATCAGAGGCTAGCTGATGTGAGATGTTATCCCGGCAAAGCCAAGGAGGCTGCAACTGCCTGACTGCACTAGGCAGCTGGAGATGGCTGGGAGCAGCAGATGCTCAGTAAAGCACCCCAAAACTGTCATCAGCTCATTGCATTTTTGTCCTCAAAGAGCTGGCAGGGCACCAGCTGACACTGCTTTGTACCAACACCAGTGTTAGGGGGTGGCAGCCTCAAACCTGGCTGATGGCTCCTGCTCTAGCTCCAACTTGTCCTGGCCCTCCTGGCCACCAGCGTCCCCAGACTGCAGCCCTGTGCTGCAGCCCTGAGTGCCACGAGGCACACACTTTCCAAAGAAGAGGGTGCAGTGCCTCTGTCCCTGACCAGTCCCATCCCGCAGTCACAGCAAGGAGAGCTGGGCCATGCCAGGGATGGTGACTGGGGCTGTCCACAGCCTGGCCATCCCCAGGCCCCTCTGCAGGCCCTGGGCCCATCTGGGGATGTCAGGTGTGCATGGATGGGCATGGGCACGGGCACGGGCATGGCTTGGGCTGAGCCCAAACACTGTTCCCTAGACACTGGCTGGTGG